ATATTTATTATATCATTTTTTTAAAGAGTTTTATGTTTTATTTTTAATTTAATAACAAATATTTTAGTAACTAATTGATTTATTTGTTTTATAGCTTATTTTAATTACCTATTAAACATATTGGCAAAAACTAGTCCACTATGAAGATTATTCTAAGCGTTTTTTTATTAGGTTTATTTATTTATTGATGTACATCTTACAATGCCATAAGTGACAATAACAAATAAGAGGGTGCTATTAATGCACAAACTAATAACACAGATTAGGTATCCTATAAGTATACAGATAAAAATCTTGTCCCTAATTCGTGGTACGAAAATTGTTTCTTATGACGATGTGCAAACGAGTCAAATTTCCTGTGCGCAAAAATAAACTCGCGTAAAATAACAACAAACAGCGTAATAGAGAGATATCGCTAAACCGAATAGCGTGCATGGACGTTAATAAGGCCAGGTGTTATTTTCTTTACGTGAGGTGGTATTAACTCTCTTCATTTATAGTTATCGGATCGGAAAAAATTCTGATCGCGTCGCGTCCGCTATTTAAACTTAACCTAAGTTTGAATTTAAAACTTTGAAATTGTTTTGTTTACTAGGTATTTTAAAACTAAAGGGCTAAAGTGCTTATTTCCAGTGCTTTATTGTTCAACGTCTGCCAGTGGGTTTAGGGCAACAAGCAACAAATTCTCTTAGAAGGGCTAAGTCGTCATCTGCTGTAAACCTAAGACTCTTTATAGGTTCTTTAGTATTGGAAGAGGTGGAATCCATATTTTGGGCCATATTTATTTAATTAAAACTAATCCCATCTACTTAAATATCAAATTACTTAATAAAACTAAAGCAATAATTCAAAACAATTCAAACATAACCTAAAATAAAAGATCTCGCCTGCCGGCTCCGGTTGTCAAATACCCGCACATGCCCATTTAAGCAATTTTTAAACGCTATCAGAGGTTATTTAGAAAGAGTGCTTGATGTAATTGATCCGCAAATTACGTCAGGTTGTATCGTTATTAGCGGGTGTTGCGTTAAAAATTGACTCGCGCATATCGTAACCATGATAAGGTACGCGTAAATACTGGATGACGCTATTCGGTTTTCCGATATCTCTCTAATAACTGTGCCGGTCAGGCGCTGTGCACAATTTTAGAGGCCATAAATGGGCGTGCTATGTGCGCAAACTAGTCACCTAACTAGTGCCCGATTCCGAAAATTGGAACCACGAAAAACAATAAAGAAAAAGCAAAGATTATGATCTGTATAATCTGTGCTAATAATCACAGAATTTAATAAAAACTAACTTTAAAAGTGGTATAATGTGCTTGTCACTTACTTCTCTGCCTGCAGTCAAGGATAATAAACGACCTTTATTGTCACGTTCTCGTTCAAATTGTTAATCAGGGAAGGCTACAAGCTCTTTGCTTCATTTATATAAATGTTTCGGCACATTTTCAACACACAATTTCAAGAAATGCAATACAAAAAATCGAATATTTAGTTCTTAAAAGAAATGTTTGTGCTTAAAAGTGCAATTTAAAAAAAAACTACGAAAATAGGCACAAAAACGAGAATTGCTCACAAAGATTCAACAACAACACGATATTATACAAAATAATTACTGACATTAGGATAATTGTCAAATAATAAAGGACAACATTGCTGAACACAACGCAATGTGACCAACATAACAATAATAAAATTCGGTTCAAACTAATTTTTGCAGCTTTAATCTAAATAAAATATCTGTTACAATCATTTGCTCTATAAAATAAAATGAATAGCTGCTTGGTATCTTAAATTATACAATAAATTTAAACATTTTTGCCAAAATTTCATTTAGTCAGGTTTATAGACTTTAATGTCAATGTCGATATGATTGATGACGTGCATCGGAAAATGTTTTGTGATTACTTTAGAAGACTTCTCCCAATTTTCCTTCTCCCATAGAATCTACAATCTACAATCCATGTTGATACAACAACTGTACAGGGTGGGTCAAATTGGACGCTTTTACAGGAAAACAACCATTTCTATAGGAGATAGACGAAAACTAATATCGGTGTCTGGAGCTCAATTTTTATCAAAAATATGATGGTGAAAACCGCACATCGATATCTGTTACCGTTTCAGAGTTACGGGGTGTTTTTCAAAAATGTTCATTTTTAACAAATCGCTGTAACTTTTTTGGTATGATAAATATTTTGTATTTTTATGAAAACCATTTCCAAAGCACATTTTTACGTAGAATTTAATGGTTGAAGTATAATTTTTTTTAAATTAATAATTTAAGAGTTATCAACACAAAAATTGATTTTTTATTTGGGACACCCTGTATATTTCTAATTAACTGAAAATAACTTAAAATTACCTTTTGAAAAATATAGCACACTTGATATTTTGTTATAGTCCCCTTCGAAATACAGAATTTTTAAAAGTTCGCCATTTTTAACTAGTAGACTTTGGACCCCTTATTGATGATCTGCCCCTAATGAAACTCGAAAACATATTTTTCTAGCAAGACGAGGTACTTCCTCAGAACTCTGAAGTTATCAGCGAATTTTTGCAGCCAATTTCGAGAATAATTGAATAGTGCTAACCAAGATCCCAGCCGTTGGCTGTCGAGGCCTCCGGAATTAGACCCTGTGGATTTTATCTTTGCGGAAGAACAAAGGTTCTTATTTTTAAATTGCCCATATAATCTAGATAAGAATTAGAAGTACTTAGCGGTTGGGCAAGAGTATCTTCCTAGAAATGTTCAATAACGGTCCTGTCTGTGTATAAGAGAAGAAGGTTGTAGCAAAATGTCATGTCTTGGTTTGTAGCAAAATGTCATGTGCAACACTTGTAGCAAAATGTCATGTCTTGGTTTGCTATTTATTTTTATTGTTATTAGATATAGTATAAATGGGTTGATGTTGTTAAATATAGTTTAAATTGTTATAAAATTCTACATCTCTCACTGCAAATATTATTTTCGTTTTAATTGCTGCTCACAGCTAGAATTTTTTTTGCATTACAGCCGGCGCGGGGCCGTTCAAAGCCTACTTATTCAAAGTGGACGAATTTTTAAAAACTCTATATCTCGAGGAGGAATCGAGCAAAATATCAAGTATGCTGTATTTTTGGAAAGATAATTTTAAATTTTTTTAAAAATATACAGGGTGCCCCATATAAAATTTCAATAAAATTTTCTGTCGATAATTCTTAAATTATTAATTAAAAAAAAACATTTAAACCATTAAATTTTACGTAAAAAGGTGCTTTGGAAATGTTTTCATAAAAATACAAAATTTTCCATAGCAAAAAGGTTAAGCGAATTGTTAAAAATGCCCATTTTTGAAAAATGCCCCGTAACTTCGAAAAGGTAACAGATATCGATGTGCGGTTTTCACCATCATTTTTTTTTGATAAAAATTAAGCTCCAGACACCGATATTAGTTTTTGTCTATCTTCTATAGAAAAGGGTGTTTCCTTTTAAACGCGTTCAATTTGGCCCACCCTGAACACATAATAAGTTAAACACATACATTGATTTGTATTGAACCAACATTTACAAGCAAAATATAAACAAATCGTTGGTTAATTTACAGTTTCATTTCACTACAGATCAAAATTTTTTTATGACATTAGATCAAGCCCCAGGAGTTTAAATCACTTGCAAGAATATTCTGTGTTTAGACATTTGTTATCAAAAAGAATCTACTAATTTATTTAAAATTGCGACATCGCATAAAGGGGCGTCCAGACCAGATGAGTGAGCAGTAACGAGCGCGAGCAAACATTTATTCAAATTCGCTCGTGATTTCTGTTGCTCTCGAGCACATGATCAGCTTCCGTCCAGACCTGGCGATTATTTGTATGTTCGGCGTTGATCGGTGTGTGGCACTTCATGTTCATAATGTCGGAAATAATTATTGCTCGTGCGTCTTTCATTGTATTTTATAATTTGGTGAAACGTCAAAAGAGAAAACGACTGCAGAGGAGATGGTGGAACATAACTCTTTTTAAAAATCGAGTTTCTCATGGTGTTAACAATTTATTAAACGATGTTGAAACAGAAGATTCTGGAAAATTTAAGAACTTTTGTCGGATGTCACTTACAGATTTTAATACCTTATTAGATTTAATTGACATAAAAATAATGAAAAGTGATACCAATTACCGAAAAGCAATTTCACCTAGAGGAAGGCCAGCTATAATCTTACGGGCCTTGGCGATTTTTGTACTCCTCTATTAGTTCTAAAACAACTTCATTCGGCCATTCCATTTTTGATATTCGATCGCAAACGTGGTAAACAAAATTCCGTCCAAATCGAACGTGCAATAGCGCGAATTTTCTTTGATGTACCGACACGGCGTGGAACAGCGTCGAGCGCGACAAGCAATCATTCGCTCGCTCGCAGAGCCGTCCACAGTTAAGCGTTCACATAGAACATACCCGAATTCTTGCTCGCTCCTGCTCGCTTATCCGGTCTGGACGTCTCTTAAGGCTGTATTTCAAACTTTAAACTGTCAAAATGTTGGCAATAGATTGCCAGAAAGTTTATTGCGTAAAAATAGACAAAAAAAAGAATATGGATAAGAAAATGATTCATCTAATAATTTAAAACTTGAACTACACATATAGGTACGTCTGGATGTAAGAAAAAACAACAGGAAACATTAATTCGTAACGCTGTTTGTCCTCGACTTAAGCTAGGAATTCTTTACCTAATTTTGTATTTCGGATTCTGTGTGATCATATTTATATGCTCATATTTATCGCAAATATTAATAATAAACTTCATATATCATTTTCTTCAGACTACTTTACTTGGCGCCGTTTTAAAAACACCACTTGAACGCCAAAAGTTAATCTGTAGTCAACTGGAAAGTGACACAACTTATTTGAACAATTTATATGATTTCTTGAATTTAGACGGCCAAAGTAAGCATTCTAATGAACTAATTCATGTCAAATAAATTTGTTAAAAGTGAATATAAACAATCAAAAGTGATTACCTTCAAATGTAAATAACTGCGTCAGATACACGATGATTGAAGTATTCTGCGACACCATATTGCTGGCGTCTATGACCCATTGGCATCTTATTGGCACTTTGAAAGCATCTGAAATAATAAAAAACTACAATTACAAAATGAAAAAAATTCTAAGAGATCTTCAAGTTTTATAAATCTTTCAAGGGACTCTACTCCTTATAAACAACATTAACTATGTTTATAAAAATAAATTGACTTCATATGAGATGCTGACGTCTTCCTAGGGACGTCTACTGGCAGGCAATTTCGAATAAAGTTTCAAAAAGCAGTCTATTAAGGTCCCAATAGAGCTTTTGTCATGCAAAATCGATAGCTCCGGCACAAAGACCTAATCTAAACCTGCTCTTCCTCATATAAACTTTCTTTTTTTCTTTACCGAAGTATAATAAAGATTTTCCGGGTGAAAATTTACTTTGGTGAAAAAATTACTTCCACGTGTACAATACGATCGAAAAACAGCGTCGGATTAGGCTTTGAAATTACTATCGATTTTTATAAGGGCCTCAAAAGTTTTCAAAAGAACCCGGTAAATTCTAGTACCATATAAGTTATTTTATGATTATATTAGGATGTCTCAGAAATAAGTGCAAATATTTTAAGGAGTAGTAGATCTGTATGGTACTCCCTACATGCATCGTAAACAAATTTCGAAAAAAGTCTTAAATATATTTTTTTTGCAAAAAAAAATCATGGGTGTATTTCTGTAGTAGTAGCGTTTCAAAGTAGTTTATTTTATTTTACAAAGAAATAAGTTGGTACAATGGGAACGCATAGAAGAAAATAATTTGTTTAAGATTTGAGTGACAAGGGATTACTTCAAAATATTGTGATTTTTTTTTCACTGTATAAAACTGAAAAAATTTAATCGAGTTATTTTATTTAAAAAAAATTACGATATGTGTTAATATAAAACAAACAAGGGTTCTCTGGCGATCTCTGTTCACTGACTGTTAACTGTAAACTATGGTCTGCCTCAACATTTAAGTTTCCATCGAGTTTTCCTCGACTTAATTTTAAAGAACACGAAACAAACGCAATAACACAGTCTAAAATACAAAATGGAAAATAGTTATCACTGCTATTTGACATAATTTGAGTGACAGGAAATTAATTGTGGAATGCTGTGGTCAAATGTCTTTTGAAATGAAAGCGACCTCTGGGGTTCCCCAGTGGTCAATTTTGGGTCCTCTTTTATTCAACATTTTTATGAATGGTGTTGTTGAGCGTTCGAATGTCAACATTTTATTCTATGCGGATGACATGAAGATGTATTCACGGGTGAGCTTTTTTGATGATTGTCGTAAGCTTCAGGAATCGCTGGAAATAATCGCGGACTGGTGTAGAGATAACAAACTCCCCTTAAATATTGAAAAATGCTCTGTCGTTTCTTACAGCTTAAAACAAAACCCAATTTTGCATAAATATTTATTATATAATGAAGAAATCCGACGTGAAATGACTGTTTGTGATCTTGGAGTTGTGTTTGATTGCAGGCTGTCTTTTGTACAACACATATCGGAGATTGTACAGCGGTCTTTTAGAGCCCTGGGCTTTATTATTAGAAAAGCAAAAGAATTTTCCTGCCTTGACGCACTTAAGCTATTATATTTTACATTTGTTAGGTCTAAACTGGAGTACGCATCTGTTATATGGTCACCATGTTACCAGACACATATAAATAACATCGAAGGTGTCCAGCGACGGTTTCTGAAGTTTCTTAGTTTTAAAATAGATGGAAACTATCCTTGTATAGGCTACTCTCATGATGAACTCTTGGAACGTCATTCGTTTTCTTCTTTAGTGGATCGCCGCGGAATATTTGACATTAAGACGCTGTATGGTGTGGTTCATAATAAAACAGACTGCTCAGATATTTTCAATAGGCTGAATATTTTTGTTCCGAGAGCAGCAGCTCGACACTTCAACACATTTTATGTCGACGCTTCTAGGACTAACATTAACAAAAAATCTCCAGTTAATAGAATGCAACTAGCCTACAATCAACCCCAGGGCAGTTTGGATATATTTTCAGAGTCCAGCTTTCAGCTTTAATTACTAGTATCGGCTTTTTATCATTTTTTGTGTCAATTTTGTTGATCTGATCTTTGTTTTTTACTTTGTATATATTTTTTTTGTACCTTTTATTATAATTAATTTGTTTTATGATCTATAAATTGCTTAATTTTAATTTGTAATCGATACAGTACGACCTATTCTGTAATTGGCGCTTGCTGTTGAATGGAGTACATTAAATAAATAAATAATTTGACACAAAATTATAACCTATAATTTGGTTAGAGCAAAGGGTAAGAGTTTCACAACTCTCAAAAATCTTAAATCGAGTTCATACGCATAGTCGTCCGTTTGTCGTTCTTCGTTCCGTCAAACCAACAATATTGAAATATGATCTGTCATTTTTGAAATGAACCAATAAAACTGGTTAAAAACAACAAGAGGCGACGCATGACGGATTTATATACTAAGGCTGGCAAAGGTTAGTCTTGGGTCGAGATTTCCGTATGTAAGAAGAGTACAATGCGTTTATAATGTACTGAACAAAGAGAGGACAGTAAACACGTTGCCAAACATATGAAATAAACCGAGAAACTGTGCACATCGCTAAGAGACGTGGAAGGGGATATAGCAGATTTGTCGCAGTTGACTGGTCGACCCAAACACTACCTCTGTCAGTACTTAAAGTTCTAGGGAAAGGTGTACGTCATGCGTCCAGCTTCACGATTTAATTACGTCTCGTGATACTTAATTTCGTCCCATTGCTGCCAAAAGTCACTAACTTACTTTTTGTTACTTCCGAGAAAAACGCATCTAAAGATGAATTGCATTGCATAAAGATGTTATAGTTAGTAACTATTCGGTATCAAAATAAAACATAAATAGCCAGAAATTGTAGCTAATGACTTTTTCAATCGATTCTCCGCTTCAAAATATAGTTAGTGATTGAACTTTTGGTTGTTCGGAAAATGTTAGTTAGTGACTTTTGGCAGCAATATGACGATTTGTTCATTTATCAACGAATCGTTGTAATTTTCCCTACAGCTTGAATTTTTTTAAGTGCAAGCTAGAAACACTTGCCTTTTTGGTAAAAATAAGTGGAATTGAGGGGGTGTTCGATAGTGGTCGCGCTATTAAAACTCTGAATTCAAAAATCGATATCTCGAAATCTATTAGAAATAATAGATTGTAATTATTTCAGGAACCTTGTTAATATTTCTGCTGTATTTTCTTTGTAGACAGTACGTGAAAATCTTTATCAATAAAAAAATTACACGATTGCTGAAAATTGCTATGCTCTAAAAGTAAATGGATGGATTGTTTACAATTTTTCAATAGAAAAAACCGCCTTATCGAATTTTTCTTATGTAAACATATTGTAAAATATCCGATCTTGAAAATAAAAAAAAAGTTTCAATATCTAAAGTGGTTCTTAAGTTATGGCCTCATATGTGTTAAAAAGTTGAGTTTTTAAATTATCGCGATTACTGACGTTTTCTCGTTATAAAAATAATGACACCCTAACGATATCCTTATAATTCTATTTCAGATGCCCAGAAACATGTCTAATGATTTTATCTAGTTATCTCTTGAAAAAAGTCTTTTTAAAATAAGCGGTTTGCTATCGTGATTTTACTTTACTTGATAGGGAAAGGCGTATCGGCAACGCCGCAACAGCACACCGTCGCGCGTCGTGTCGGTCGGTCGTATTTCTCTCACTCCGACTTAATAAGATCCCTATGCGATTTACTTCCACACATGTAAAGCCGACCCAAAAGTAACAGTTGCCAGCACGGTATAAACTTATCCATAGTTAACCAGTTAAAATACTTGCCATTATTTCTGAGACACCCTGTATTACGTACATTTAAGAACTTGTAGTATATTATTTTTTGGTTATATTTTATTGTATTTCGTCTCTAAGGCATGAATATAAAACTAGTATAGATTCTTTCATTAGTAGTTTTATTCGTAAACTTATAGCGTATTATTTTATGGTTGGATTATTTTACTACGTGAACTCTACGTGAATCTTTTATTCTTTAATAATATCGTGCTTTATAGTTGAGGAACAAAGTAATTAAATGGAACGGTCTAAATCCAATTTTCGTCGGTTCGTATGTAAATGCGAAAGTCTTTGAACTGCAGCGCATAAATCGTCCAAATAAGGCCCTAATGGAACTTAAAAACCTATTCAATTTAAACCATGGAACGGGTGCTGTGCAGTTTCTAGATATGCATCTTTAGTGATTCATTTTATAGAGCTACTGCCAGAAAGAACATACAGGACCTAACTTATGATAAATTTATAATAGGAAAATCAATAAAAGTTGGACTGCACGTCATCAAAATATATGACGAATGCACGTGGCAATGCTGCCAAGGCTACTTTTTTATTTTGACTTTTGCCGGAAACAAAATTCGTAATTCTGTCACCCATTTTCACTTCAATTTTAGACACAATATATACAGGGTGTCTCAATATTTTGTGGACTAAACAAAAATCAAACACCTTAGTTCATGACAAAAGGTTTGATTCCTTCTCACCCAAGACTTTATAAAAGTATTAAAATTCCAAAAATACTTATTAGTTCTATGTCCACCGAAATATTGGGACACCCTGTATATATTGTGTCTAAAATTGAAGTGACCTTAGTTCATGACAAAAGTATCTTTATTAATTGTCATTAATTATAGGCACTGACCGATGACTGGGTCATGGATTCTGCTGAGTATGCAATATAGTTGCAACATATTTTCTATTGCTAAATATGTTACAAACCATCAATTAATATTAGATACAGGGTGGTCTATACCATCATATTGCAATATTATATATAGGGTGGTCTACCATCATATGAGGTATAATATGATTTTATGGAATTTACACATTCTTCAGAAATGGAAATTTCAGAAATTTATAGAAATAAAAACCAGCCTACATATACCTAACCTATAGAGACTTTTACCATATATTTTTTTCCAAAATTTTAACAATATACGAAGAATAACTAATATAAGAAGAATAAAAAGAAAAGAGTAAAAAAGATAAGAAA